GAAACCTGGAAAGCTGGCTTAACACTTACTTGCCACTTTTTCTTTCTTTTAGTCTCTGCGATATGATACCAGCTATTTTGTGGAGTATTTTGCCTTGGATCTCCTGATGGAGAATGGAGAGTGCCGTGGTGTGATTGCACTGTGCATAGAAGATGGGTCCATACATCGCATAAGAGCAAAGAACACTGTTGTTGCCACAGGGTAGGAATTGAATTTTTATTTTAGTTTGTTTATAAAAATGAATAAATTTCACTTAGAGTCTCTTTACTTTAATGAAAATAGAGGCCTTGTAGAATAACGGTTCAGACACAGGCCTTGACATAACTTTGTGAGGGTGATGGCCTTTCCCAGCTGTGGTTCCTCATCTGTAAAGGGTGAGGACAGCAGCACCCGCCTTGTGGGAGGTTGAGAAAGCAGGGCCCTCAGCAGATGGTAGTGGCAGCTGTCAGGGTAACAGCTAACCCTTCCTGACTTTAGATGACGAAACTGCAGCCTAAAGAGTCACATGGGGTTTTCTGGCAAAATCTCTTGTTTTAGTGGGCACTGTGTTTACACTGATTCCTGGGGTGGATAACTTGCTTCTCCACATAATGAAAATAAGTAACTTTAATTTTTTCCACTGTCGATCTGTTAATTTTAACCATTTTAAAAGTTAAAAAGTGTCTGTACAGCAAAGGAAACAATCAGCAAAACTATAGGTTTGGAAAAAATATTTTCAAAACCATTTATCTCATAATACCTTAATATCTAAAATATACAGGCTGGGCGCAGTGGCTCACGCCTGTAATCCCAGCACTTTGAGGGGCCATGGTGGGCAGATCACAAGGTCAGGAGTTACAAGATGAAGTTCTGAAGATCTAATATACAACATGGGGCTATAGTTAATATTATTAACTTGAGATTTGCTAAGAGAGTAGACTTTAGGTGTCCGTATCTCCAAAAAAAAGGATAATTAGATGAGGTAATAGATGTGTTAATTAACTTGTGTCTTCAGTTCACAAAATATATGAAATCATGTTGTACACCTTAAATATATACAGGTTTTTAATTCATATATTATACCTCAGTACATCTGGGGAAAAAAACAAAATCCATAAAAATTTTAAAATTTTCATTATAAAAGTGGTATATGCTTATTGGGGAAACCTTTTGAACAGCACAGAGCTAAAATACAAACAGGGCCAGGTGCATGGTGCCTCATGCCTGTAATCCTAGCTGTTTGGGAGGCCAAAGTGGGAGGATCACTTGAGGTCAGGAGTTTGAGACCAGCATGGCCAACGTGGCATAACCCCATTTCTACTAAAAATACAAAAATTAACTGTGTGTGGTGGTGCACACCTGTAATTCCAGCTACTCAGGAGGCTGAGGCAGGAGAATCGCTTAAACCTGGGAGGTGGAGGTTGCAGTGAGCCAAGAATTCGTCACTGCACTCCAGCCTGGGCGACAGAGCAAGAGCCTATCTCAAAATAAATAAATGAAATAAAATACAAATGGAAGTCCTTTCTCTGATGCAGGCTTCCATCCTACGTACAGTAGCAGCACCACAGGCGTGACCCCCAGTGATGTGTGTGGGGTGCCGGAGGAGGGGTTGTGTGCACACAGACAGCACTGAGAAGGTGGTGCCCCGGGGGTCTCCATGTCCATTCGCGGTCTCATCAGACAGGAGGTCTGGACGTGGGCTGCTGTGTGCAGCCACCGCTCTCTTGTTTCCAGAGGCTACGGGCGCACCTACTTCAGCTGCACGTCCGCCCACACCAGCACCGGTGATGGCACGGCCATGGTCACCAGGGCAGGCCTTCCTTGCCAGGACCTCGAGTTTGTCCAGTTCCACCCCACAGGTAGGGCATGGCGCCTCGCCTGCAGGCATCGGCCTCGTGTGTGTCTCGTAAGCATGTGGTGCCTACTCATTGCTCTGCCATAGTTCTATGCTTTCTCAGCTCTCAGATCCTGACTTAAATGTCATTTTCTTAAGGAGACTGTGCCACACCTCCCTAAGGTAGTTTGGGCCGCTGTCTTGTGCATTCCTTAAGAACCCGAAACCCTGCCTTGGTGATACTTATCCCAGCAGTAAAGCGGGGATTGAGGCCGGGCGCAGTGACTCACACCTGTCATCTCAGCACTTTGGGTGGCCAAGGCAGGCGGATCACCTGAGGTCAGGAGTTCGAGACCAGCCTGGCCAACATGGTGAAACCTCGTCTCTACGAAAAATACAAAAATTAGCCGGGCATGGTGGCGGGTGCCTGTAATCCCAGCTACTCGGGAGACGGAGGTGGGAGGAATGCTTGATTGAACCTGAGAGGCAGAGGTGGCAGTGAGCTGAGATCGCGCCACTGCCCTCCAGCCTGGGCAACAGAGTAAGACTCCGTCTTGAGGAAAAAAAGGCAGGGATTGTTCAGTGTCCTTCTTCGCAATGAGTTCATCTGCTTCTCGGGGGCAGGCAGGTCTTCTCATTGGCCAGGGTTCTCCCAGCCCAGCACGTGGCAGGGCCTCCATCAGGGTTCCTGAGTGAGCACCCTGAGAGCTGGGAGGATGCCGTGGACCCGAGAACCAGCACAGGCAGACTTCAGCTTCATAGGAGAACATGGAGCTCCAGAGATAGTGGGGTGCAAAGTTAGGACACAGCTGTGACAGGACCCATGTGACATTTGGGCATTGGCTCAGCCCACACGACCACTGAGGGAGCTTCGTCCTGGGGGAGATGAACTCACCTTAGGGATGTCTGATGGTTGAGGTTACGAATGTGCAATTTGGAGACATTAACACAGAAATGACAGTTGAAGTCTTGAATTTGGGGGATGCTTTTCAGAAATGAGTCAGAGAGAGAGATACACATCTGCCTCTTGTTTGATGTGACTTTCCTGGATTGCTTTTCTGACCTGTGGGCTACAGAGACCCCTGCAGTGGTGCTAAAGGACCAGACCTGTGTCTTCTCTTTCTCTGTCAGTGTCATCTTTCTGATCCCTGGCAGGGCTGAAAATAAAAAATGTATTTGTTGTGGGTTTTTAAAAATCTGTTTAGAGATAGGGTTTTGCTCTGTTGCCCAGGCTGGAGTGCAGTAGAGCAATCTTGGCTCACTGCAGCCAGTGCCTCCCAGACTCAAACAATCCTTCCACCTCAGCCTCCCAAACAGCTGAGACTACAGGCATGCGTTACCATGCCCAGATAATTTTTTTTTTTTTTTGGTAGAGACAGGGTTTCACCATTTTGCCCAGACTGGTCTCAAACTCCTGGTCTTAAGCAATCCACCTGCCTCAGCCTCCCAGAGTGTTGGGATTACAGGCATGAGCCACTGCACCTAGCCTGTGTTTTTTATTACTGTTTTTAACCAATAAAATGTCACTGACCTCCTGAATTTCCTCTGTAATTTGCTTAGAGCTCCACTTCTCATGCTTTGTCTTCAATATGTGAGGGCATTGAAAAAAAAAGAGCATTGAAACTTAGAAAATCAAAAGGCAGGTGAGATGGAAGAATCACATTCTTGTTTTAAAAGCAAGATTCCCCTTTTTTATTCTAATACAAATTGTAGCTTTTGAAATACATTTAGTTTAGGGGGTTTTTGTGGGTTTTGATCTCCTTTGTTAAAATCTGAGCGCTCGGCGTGCCCCGGTTTTCATCACGTTGAGGAGTCACAGAGCCGCTGTTTGGAGCACAGACCGCAGGACTGCCCAGGTTGGGGTTTGAGCTCTGTCCTCGGCTGCATGACTGGATGTTACCAGCATTAATGTGCTTGTCAGTGAGAATGGGGGCCATACTGCCTGGAGCTGTAAAGCTTAAATGTTAATTTGCGGAAAGCAGTTAGAACTGTCCATGGCAAGTGCAGTGTATTAACTAGAATAATTTCGTTACTGTCCTTGCCACTGTTTGGGTAATTTAGATGTGAATTCTCCAGGCTGGTTATTCTTAACTAAAGTACTCACCACAGTGTCATAGTGCAAAAGAATGCTCAAAAATTAAAACCAAATTTGAGGCATTTAACCACACAGGCTGTAATCCGAGTGTGGCCAGAGCTCTGTGGGCTGTCCTTTCTGCTCGCTGGGGACTCCGCTCTGCCCAGACCTGCTGCACCGTCAGCCTTGTCAGTGCTTCTTGGTATCCAGACTTTCTACTGTATCTTAACTTTTCTTCTTTCTATTCAGTTTTGCATATGATGCCTTCTGCATATCTTTTTCCTCTCTACCGCAAAAAATATCTTGAAAAAAATAATGCATTTGAAATGGAGACCTAGCAGTTGTTAGGTTATAAATGTTTGTGTTTTTTTCAGGCATATATGGTGCTGGTTGTCTCATCACGGAAGGATGTCGTGGAGAGGGAGGCATTCTCATTAACAGTCAGGGCGAAAGGTTTATGGAGCGATACGCCCCCGTCGCGAAGGACTTGGCGTCCAGAGACGTGGTATCTCGGTCCATGACTCTGGAGATCCGCGAAGGAAGGTCTGTGTGTTTATCACCAGCGTTGTCTGAGGGGCACACCGGCACGCACACACTCTCCTTCCCTTCACTTCCTCTTTGGTGACTTGATGTTTGTTTTAGCATCTGGGCCGGGGTTGCTTCTGAGTTTCAGCACTGCGCTTGGGTGTTGTGTCTGATACCCACAGATGTTGTCAGCAGCCTTCAAAGGGTGTGGGTTATCTGGCTTTCAGTAAAACAATCTGCAGCTCTTTCATTGCCTGACCCTGTTCCTTAATGTAATGACACTTGCTGAGTGTCTGCTGGTATGGCCTTTAGAGGTTTCACATTTTTATATTTAAAAAAAGACGTCAAATGGTTTTTGGATGTGGTGGCCCTCCATATCCATGGGTTCCACATGTGTGGTTTCAGCCAACTATGTGTTGAAAATACAATTGTACCCTTACTGAGCATGCAGACTTTTTTCCTTGTCATTGTCCCCTAAACAACACAGCATGACAGCTATTTACATAGCACTTACGCTGCGTTAGGTACTGCGAGTAATCCTGGAGTTGTCCTAAAACCGAAATGTACAGCTTTAAATGAGGGATGATTTAGAGTCTGGAGGAGGATGTGCATAGGTTATATGCAGATACTCTCCCCTTTTGTATTAGAGACTTGAACATCCACAGATTCTGGTATCCATGGGGGTCCTGGAGCCAGTCTGCCGTGGATACACAGGGATGACTATTTGGTATAGAGGCCTTTGTGATACAGTTACCAAGGACAGCCACAGCAGGCTGTGAGCCCCAAGACAAGTGTGAGTTCAGTGAGGGCAGTTTTTGTTCTGGTTCTCAGCTGTGTCCCAGCACCTAGGATTGTCCCTGGCACAGAGTAGACATTTAGAAAAGATTTGATGAGAGGGTGGCCATACATGAGGGGAAATTTTCCTCAGTATCAAAAAATGTGGAAACTCACGCTTCCGTGATGACGTAGTCTCAGGTTTCCTGCCATTACTGTTCTCTGCCTTATGTGGTGGTGTTCTGTCTTACCAGAGGCTGTGGCCCTGAGAAAGATCACGTCTACCTGCAGCTGCACCACCTGCCTCCAGAGCAGCTGGCCATGCGCCTGCCTGGCATTTCAGAGACAGCCATGATCTTTGCTGGCGTGGACGTCACGAAGGAGCCGATCCCTGTCCTCCCCACTGTGCACTATAACATGGGCGGCATTCCCACCAACTACAAGGGGCAGGTGATGGTGCCAGCTCCTCTCCCAAAGCTGGAAAGAAGGCCGGGACTGTGGGGCCCACCTTGCAGTTGTCTCTTTAGATCTTAGAGGAAAAGACAGATTTTCTTCAAGAAAGTACTGTGTTGTTTTATAGATTGCACTTTAAATTTACCACAGGGTGGACGGAGGTTAATAATTTATTCCTCCTTAGGAGGTTGTCATGGATACATCATTTGCAGCTTTCTCCATTTTGTAATTACTTTCCTGTATGATGCTGTGTTATTTATAATGATCTTGTACATCGAGAGATCTTTATAATTCATACCTTTGAATGGTCTGCAGTTCACATAGAGCTTGTTGGTCACTTAGGCTCCTTGTCGGGTGAGGTGGGTGGAAGCTGTTACTCTCTGCCTACGACGAATAGATGAACAGGGAGTAGAAGAGAATAAGTGAACATCGGTCTCCCCTGCTAATGTTCCTCCACCTGCTATGCTCTCGGGTCTGAGCCAGATCACAAGTAGGGAGAGGTCCTTGGGGACATAGGACATGGAGAACAGTCACAGATGCTGACATTGGAGGTCCTCTGACCTGCTTCTAACAGCAGGTGCTCAGGGCAGAGAGGAAACTGGGGGATATATTCGGAAGTTTCCCTCTGAAGAAGAGTAGCTGTGCTCCTTACTTCCCTCTTAGATGTGGTCTTTGCTTCCCTCTCTTTTTATTTATTTTTTTCAGAGATGGAGTCTCACTCTGTTGCCCAGGCTGGAGTGCAATGACGCGATCTCAGCTCATTGCAACCTCCGCCTCCAAGTTCAAGTGATTCTTCCACCTCAGCTTCCCTGGTAGCTGGGATTACAGGCACCCGCCATCATGCTTGGCTAATTTTTGTACTTTTAGTAGAGAGAGGGTTTCACCTTATTACTCAGGCTGGTCTTGAACCCCTGATCTCAGGTGATCCGCCCGCCTCAGCCTTCCAAAGTGTTGGATTACAGGCATGAGCTGCTGCGCCCGGCCTGCTTCCCTCTCTTTCTCTGACCTGCAGCACAGATACCCTGTTGGGGGAGATGGGCTTGTGGAGGCATGGGCACCTTGACCTTTCACCTGAAATCTTCTTTTCCACAGGTCCTGAGACATGTGAATGGCCAGGATCAGATTGTGCCTGGCCTGTATGCCTGTGGGGAGGCTGCCTGTGCCTCAGTCCATGGTGCCAACCGTCTTGGGGCAAACTCACTCTTGGACCTGGTTGTCTTTGGCCGGGCTTGTGCCTTGAGCATCGAAGAGTCATGCAGGCCTGGTGAGTGTTTTCTTCAGAAGCCAGACTATTTGAGAAGGCAGGAGGTTACAAAGTCTTTTTTTTTTTTTTTTTTTTTTTTTTTTAAGACTGGGTCAGCCCAGGCTGGAGTGCAGTGGCACAGTAATGGCAGCTTCAGCCTCCTGGGCTCAAGCAGTCCTTAACACCTCAACCTTCAGAGTCCCAAGTAGCTGGGACTACAGGTGTGCACCCCCACACCTGGCTAATTTTGTTTGTTTGGTTTTAAATTTTTTTTTGTAGAGACAGGTTCTCACAATGTTGCCCAGGCTGATCTGGAACTCCTAGACTGAAACAGTCCTTCTGCCTCAGTTTCCCAAAGTGTTGGGATTACAGGCCTGAGCCACTGCACCCAGCCAGGTTACAAAGCCTTGATTTCTTCTGGAAACATGCTTAGTGATCATATAGAAGTAGTCTGGGTTTTTTCCCCTAGAAGTGATTATACTGAGAAGTCTGGAGATTATCTGGTGGTAATGTTAGCACCAGATAGAGGCTGGTTGGGGATCTTAACTATTAAGGTGACATTTTGGGGGTTACATTTTTTAAAAATTATTTTGCAGTCATTATGTTCTGCTTAGAAAAAGCACTATTAGGAAGTTATTTTTAGGGGAAGTTCATTACATATTACTTGCCTGATAAAAAGCACTTGTTTGCAATGAAATATTTTAAGTAGTTGGCATGAATGAATATGTAACTTCTCAATACTTAGAAAAATAATTTAGGTCCTTCTAAAAACAAAGTGCAACTAATCTCTATTAGAGGAGAAGGAATGACTTAAAGCAAATGGGATTCTCACCCTTCAGTGACAGTGGATTTCACTCGGTGGTTTTCTTTCCATGATAGCATAGAATAGTGTGCAGGAGAAGAAATACCATGTGCTGGAGCGTGAGTCTTACGTGCACTAAAATCTGGACACTTAGCATCACTCCCACTTCAGAGATCTTCACGGTGGTTATCCAGCCTCGTTTGCTCAGAACAGTGTGAAGTGGAGGAGGCACTGGTAGAACTGGTGCTTTTTTTTTTTTTTTAAAGACAGGGTTTCACCATGTTGGTCAGGCTGGTCTTAAACTCCCGACCTCAGGTGATCCCCGGCCTTGGCCTCCAAAGTGCTTGGATTACAGGCGTGAGCCACCACGTCTGGCCGAACTGGTGTTTTTTGTATGGATTCAAGTGAAATAAAAACAAGTGCTGTCATGACTTATAAACATGTGCCCCCTTTTGTGTCTGTGGTTAAAAAGGTACAGGTCGTATTGAAAGGGTAGCTTACATTTCACACACTCAGTCTCTGGATTTGACCACAGCTCAGGAGGCCGGCATATGCAGAGGTGGCATCTTGTCCCAGGTTGTTGCTGATCATTGGCAAAGGCAGAGTTCAGGTCCGTCTTTCCTGACGCCACAGGTAGTGCTTGTCTCCATAGCCCTGCACTTTGTAGCAGTGAGGACTGATACCACTTCTCTCAGAGCAGTATGGAAATTTTGAGCTTCTCTTTCTTTGAAAATGCAAAAAAGAACATTTTATAAGAATATCCTCTACTTTACATCTGAGAAACCGCTCATGCATGCAGCATCTCACGCAGAATGCTGTGGAGTCAGACTCAGGGCTGCACACCTGTGGTTCTGTTGATACAACATTCTGGAAAAGGCACATCTGGGGAAGAAGAGGGTCGGAGGTTACCAGAGGCTATTTCCTGATTGTGCTGATACTTAATACACAGCTCTGTGCGTGTCAACGTTTAAAAAATGCTACACTAAAAATGGCGAGGTTTTTTTTTTTTACTGTATCTTAATTATGCTTCAATTTTTAAAAATGGAAAGGAAAGAAAAGGTGTTTGTAGCATCACTACTCCTCCCCAACTCCCTCCAAAAAAAAAAATACACATATATGTATTTTTAGAGATAGTCTCCCTCTGCCGCCCAGGCTGGAGTGCAGTGGTGCGATCAGGTACACGCCACTACACCTGGCTAATTTTTAAACATTTTTTGTCCTAAAAAATGTTTAGGACATTTTAACATAGGGAGACAGGTTTTCCCTATGTTACCCCGGATGGTCTTGAACTCTTGGCCTCAGGTGATGCACCTGCCTCGGCTTCCCAGAGTGCTGGGATTACATGCATAAGCCACTGCACTTAGGCAAGATGTGCAACTCTTGTGTTTCTAAGATGTCTTGAAAAAAGTTTTAAAGTTTTTTGTATAACCTTATGCATATTTTCTTCAATAGTTAGTACATGCAGGAGGTAGGAGGTATGAAATGCAGGAGACAAATAGGTCATGCCTGCCCACTGCCTCTCCGAGGGACCGGTGGGGAGCCCTCCTGAGGGTCTGCTCACATGCTTCTAGGCTTGCTGCTGTTTCTTTTCCTTTTGTTTATTGCTTTAAAAATTGATCATTCAGTAAAATTGACTTTTTTCTTTTGGTGCACAGTTCTATAATTTCTTTCTTTATTTTTTTGAGACATTGTCTCCTCCACCTGTCACCCAGCCTGGAGTGCAATGGTGTGATCAGGAGTTTGAGACCAGGCTGGCCAACATGGTGAAGCCCTGTCTCTACTAAAAACAGAAAAATTAGCCAGGCATGGTGAAACACTCCTGTAGTTCCAGCTACTTGGGAGGTTGAGGCAGGAGGATCACTTGAACTAGGAGGTGGAGGTTGCAGTGAGCCAAGATGGTGCCGCTGCACTCCAGACTGGGCTACAAAGAAATGCCATCTCAAAAAAAAAAAAAAAAAAAGTTGCAAATCTTGAAGTCTAGGTGAGAGCACACACAAGAGTTTGAATCAGCAAGTGACTTTCAAGCACACAGCGGCCACCTTCCTCCCTCAATGCGAAGGACGGTGAGGTGGCCAGCCCCTCGGGACCACCATCTGGAGGTGTCTCTTTTTCCCTTAGTGGAGTATATAAATTTATATACATTTAATTTTTTTTTTTTTTTTAAAGACAGAGTCTCTCTCTGTTGCCCAGGCTGGAGTGCAGTGGTGCAGTCTTGGCTCACTGCAACCTCCACCTTCCAGGTTCAAGCAGTTCTCATGTCTCAGCCTCCCAAGTAGCTGGGTTTATAGGCGCATACCACCACACCTAATTTTTGTATTTTTAGTAGAAACAAGGTTTCGCCATGTTGGACAGGTTGGTCTCGAACGCCTGACCTCAAGTGATCCACCCACCTCGGCCTCCTAAAGTACTGGGAT